GGGAAAGCAATAAGGATCCCACCACCCAGAGAGAAGCACACTGCTACCTGAGAAACAGCCTCCCGGCCCTTTGCCCATGTAGACGGACAGAGGGACAGATGGATCAAAATCGTAGATTGTTGCTGTTTTACGAAAAGGAGTTCTCCTTTGCCCACAGTCCTTGGAGCAGTTTTACCTGCTCAGCAACAAACAAGTCCTAAGCGTCTTCCCGGAAGAGTAAACGGATGAGAGCATCCTCTGATGGCTCACTGTACAACTGTTCCGTCCTGCTTCTAATAAATCCCCAAGTGTTGGACACACAGGGCATCTGGAATGTTTCATTAGGGTAAGTCGTACTAGAATATGCTCCAGGAGGAAGGGCCCCCGCCTGTCCCGCCACCGTAGCCTCCCGGCCCCCGACGCAGGGCTTGGAGCAGAAAAGGCTCCGGCGGTGTTGGCCGAGCGAGTGAGCCAACGCCAGCCACAGGGAGCAGCCTGGCAGCTCAGCCCCGACCTGGGCCTTCCCGGCCCCACGAGGACTCGGGGGCCTCAGCTGCTGTTGCCTTCAGGTTCCCCCAGGCTTTCCTCTCTCCCTTTTCTCTCGGCCACTCTAACCACACCCTCACTTCTCCCCAGCCCACCACACCTCTGCCTCGGCCCTGGTGTCCTCCACACTGCTCCGAGGCCCCCACACATCCCAGCCTCAGTGCTGGCTGTCTGGCCTCCCTGCCAGACTCTCCCGGGAGACGTGGCCCGCTTCTGCACCCCCACCATGCCTCCACGGGGAAGGCCCTGCGTCATCACAGCCATTCAGAGCTGCCCCAAGTCCTGCAGCGTGCGGCACCCTCCTAGGGGGTGGCAGGAGAGAGAACAGACAGCCAAGGGGCAGCAATGGTGGGTGCTGAGTGTAGGGGGTGGGCCTCAGCCCCAACCAAGGAACCCCAAGGAAAGAGAAGCTGTGTCTGCAAACAGTCCCTTAACCACGCCCCACCTCCCAGTTTGGTGGCCGCACCTCCAATATCCCCCACTAACCATCCTGGGGCCGCCGCTGCCATACATGTCGCCCCCATAGCCAGGGTATGCTGAGTGCTCTGAGCGGGGGGTAGGCGGGGGGGCCACGGGAGGACTCTCAGAGGAAGGGACACCTCAGCTGAGCTCTGAAGGACGACCAGGGGTGCCCTGTGGGCAGAGTGCCAGACCCTACGGTTGGGTGGGCCAGGGAGTCTGAGGAATGCAGTGGAGGCCAGTGCAGCTGGGACCCCGAGCACAGGGAAGGAGGGGAGCTGGAGCCCCGGCAGAGCCCGGGAATGAGGATTCCTGGAGGCCCCTGCAGCCCAGGCTCCCCCACTCCACCAGGACTTGGGTCTCAGCAGCCCTGCTGCCTCGCCATCAGCCAGGTCCAAACGTCCACCCAGCGGAGCTCCTCAAACCCAGCAGCCACCACTGAGCCCAGCCACCCCCAACCCAGGCACAGAGGGGCCGTCCCCAGGGTCACTGAGAACTCATCCCCTGCCCTCAGCACCAAACCCTACATAAATCTCCCCCTGCCCAGCCCAGGGCTCTCGTTCTGCCCCGCATGGAGCCTTCAACGTCTCACCTGGGCCAAGTCCCAGCCCCGTCACTGGCACCCGGCTTCTGACCCAGCACCCAGACAGCTGTCAGAGTGTCCCAGTCTGGGTCTCTCTCTCCCTCTCTCTCCCTCTCTCTCTCACACACACACACACACACACACACACACACACACACAGAGGCACCAATTAAACCCCTTTCCTGGTCCCTGATAACGATGTTTACTGGGGCGTGCTGGGTGCCAGTTTGGCTGGTACTGGGATATAGCACCAAGTGGGCCCCTGTCGTCCTGTGGCCCACCGACTAGCGGGGCAGACAGACACGAACGAAGCACACTTGTTTTGCAGACATTCAGTGCAGTTGCGTTGTGTCGAGAGGATGTGTAGTGTTAGGGGAGTCTTGGCTCCGAGCCCTCTGCAGACCAGCCAGCCCCCCAACAGCTTTTCCAGCTCTGCCTCCACACCTCTGCTCACAACAGGCCCCCACCAGAATGCCCCCAGTCTCTGCCCATCGTCCCAGGCCGCACTCAAATGCCACCTCCTCCCCAGAGCCTTCCCCGAGCTCCCCCCCGGAGTCGATCATCCCACGGCGCCCACAGCTGGTCCAAGATCCCTCTGTTTCCCCCATTAGGTTAGAAGTTTCTTTTTTTTTTTTTGGATTTTTTTAAGTCATCTCTACACGCAACATGGGGCTCAAACTCATGACCCTGAGATCAAGAGTCGCGTGCTCCACTGACTGAGCCAGCCAGGCGCCTCAGGTTGGAAGTCGCTTAAAGGCAGGATTCTCCCCTTTTTCATCTCCAGACACCTGCAAATGCTGTGTACGTACGGAGCATGGGCTCACTGCTTGTCGGCCTCAAGAACATGTCGCCCGACTTGGGTGCAAGTCTTGGCCGCACTCAGCCCTCCCTTTGCTCGCCTTCCAACCCCAGTCCTGCCGGGGGTTCTGCTAGGAAAGGTCTCTTTGCGCCCACCCCCCCCCCCCCCCTGTGAGCACGGCCTCGGCCCCCCCCGAGCCAGGAACACAGGTGCAGAGCTCCACTTGTTCTCTGGGGCCTGTCTGGCCCAGGACAGTGGGCAGCCGCTGCTCCCCCCCGCCAGCGCTGGGAGCCAGCCCCACGCTCAGCTTGCCTCAGAGCCCAGGGAGCCCCAGCCGGTGGACAGCACGGCAGCCATCCTCCGCCGAGCGCCCACCCCATCACCCGGGGCGCGAGCCGGCTTGCCAGCCTGCACCGAAGCCCTTGCCCGTGGGTTCGGTGTCCAACTGTCCCCCGCACAACCCCAGCTCCTGCCCGCCCCACCCCACAGGCAGCCTGGGGCAGAAGGAAATCCAGAACAAGGCAGGAGGCACCAGTCGGTGCGAGGGTGCGCCCTGCCTCCGCGAAGAAGGGACAAGCAGCCTGGCACCTTTTCGAGGCCTCGCTGCCGTCAGCTTCCCCTTCTCGGCACACGGTGGGCAGAGCCTGCACTCCAGCCCGATCATCACCCCGGGGAGCCTTCCCTGACCTCAAGCCCCCCGCCCACTCTACCCATCTCTGTTCCCTTTACAGCAGAGCTCTGGAAGAGGGGAGTGAGGGGTTGTGCTAGAGTGTGCCTGGCAACCAGACCGTCGGGCTCTGCGTTCCTCCTGCCAGACTGGTGGGCTTGGACCGGGGACCTCACCTCTGTGCTTCTGTGAGCCCCTCGTGGGGCCTCACGAGCACGCGGGAAGCATGTGCACCTCCACGTCTGATTCCCATTCCCTCCCCAGCCCTCTGCCACCCTGCCACCCTGCCACCCATCCCACGGAAGCAGCCCTGAGCAAGGCACAGAGACCCAGGGCCGGTTCCGTCCCCTTAGCCACGTGCCCAGGGCCCTGACCTTAGAATCTCCCGCTCCCCACCCTCCCCCGCTGGTCTGCCCAGAACCAGCCAGCCCTCCTCTGGCCTTCATCCCCACTCCTGCCTTGGTGACCCTGGGGACCAGTCGCTTGCTGACCACTCCCTAGGCTAGCAGCCCAGCCCCGCCCCTGGCTCGAGATCAGCAGACCCAGGTGCCTACTCCACACCTCCTCTTAAAAGCTAACAGGCACCCCCCGAGGCCCCCAGTAGCAAATCCTCCTTCCCACATCTGCCCCACCTCAGGAAATGGCAAGAATTGGGGCTGCTCTGGGCTTCTCTTTTCCCTCTCACACCTTCCTTCCTGTTGGTGATTGCTCTAAACACAGCCAGAACGGGCCCACCTCTCACTACCTCCACACTGAACCCGAATCCAGGCCACCAGCCTCACGCCTCCCAAACGGTGTCCACCTCCCCTCTTGCCCCACGTGCCCCAGGCCCTTCTCACTGGCCAAACCCTCCACCAGCTACCCAGAGGATCCTCAGAGACTAAACCCCAAAACCGTCAGCGAGGATCTGTGAGGACCCTGCCCTCCCAACCCCCCTGTGGCGCTGGGCCCCCAGCTGTTCCCCCTGCCCCGTAGCCTGCAGCTCCGCCCCTGACTCACGGACCTCCGTCCGAGGAGTCTTTCCCAACCGTGTCGCTCAAGCAAACCCCACCTGCCGCGCTCTCAATTAATTGCTGGTATTTCCTCCAGAACACCCACCACCACCTAACATTCTGGTATCATGGGGCTGAATACACAGCCACTAACCATCTGTGAAATGACTGGGTCCTCACAATCCACGGCCGGAGGAGCATTATGCCCACTTTCCCGATTAGGAAGCCAGGCTGAGGTGAAGTCAACCCTGAGGCTCTCCCAGCTGGTAAGCAGCGCGGCAGGCCTTAGGTTGGCCCGGGTGGGCCTGACTCGAGGCAGGGCTCTCGGCCACCAGGCTCTCCTTGGCAAGGCCTCCGAGGCTGGGAGAAGGGCCGAGGGCTCATCCTCTGAGAAGACTCATCTGCAGACACAAGCCCACGAACAGGCGTGTCCAAGGAGGTGACCAAGAGGCCTCGGGTACGGCAGCCCCCCAACTCCGAACTCCAGCACGAAAGGGACAGAAGAGGTGGGGAAGGACAATATAGAAGGGGCACCCCTAAAAGCCACAGGCGCATGGCTGGCAGCAAAGTCCAGTCCCAAGGCTCCCCCCTTCAGGCCTGGAGTCCAGAGGGGCTGCCTGCATCTAGAAGAGCCGTGGGGACCACAGGCACTTGCTCTGTGCCAGGCCCTGGGCTGAGGAATCGCACATCCTTCACTCACTCCATTCTGCAGATGAGGAAGCCGAGGCTCAGGGAGATTCAGTAACTTACCCAAGACCTTTCAGCTGGGGGTGGGGGCAGCCAGGACCCGCCAGAGCCTGCTTGGGCGCCCACTGCATGTTCACTGGCTGCCTGGCACAGGCTCAGCCCAGACACCCGCTGAGCCAGCCCCAGCCCCAGACACCATGGCCCGAGGGAAGGGGACCTGATGGGGAGACAAACAGGCACGTGGAGAAGGAGAAAACACGTGGCAGGAAAAGACACGCCTCACACAGGTGACAGGTGCAAAACAGAGGCTTTAATCCAACCAGCAATGAAGGCGCATGGGGCTGGGGGTGGGGCGCAAGGGGGGCAAGGGCAAGAGGAGCCAGGAAGGTGGTGGTCTGGACCCTGGGAGGGAGGCCAGCATGAGGCCTCTCCTGGGAAAACGATTTCTGTGACTCTAGCGGTTCCTGTCCCGGCCTCTGCCCAGGCCATCGGCCCAGATGTGAGGGTCAAGCCCCTGAATTGTGCTTCTTGGGAGCTCCCCCTTCCCAAAGGAGATGTGGATCCAGACAGAGGATGGGGGTAGTGGAGAAGGGCAGGCCTGGGCTTGGGCCAGGGAGAGCCTGCAAGAGGCTGGCCCAAGAGCAGTCCTAGAAGAAAACTCAGGGCCTGGCATGCCAGCAAGCCCTCACCCAGCCCGGCCCCTGCCAATCTGCAGAGCCAAAGCCTGGGCTTGGAAGGGCCATGGCTGCCTCATCCTGGAGAGCCAGTAGGTGAGTTCAGGGAGAGGGGAGGATGGGGGGGGGAGCTTCTGAGTGCTCCAGCGGCCCCTGACCCACTGCCCTGAAGGGCAGGGAAACAGGGCCAAAGGGCCCTGGAGAAGCAAGCAGCAGGGAGGAGGGAGCAGAACCTAAGATTCCGGAGGAATCCAGGTTCCCCACAACCACAGCGGGCCCCAGCCCCTCCCTGTGTCTCTGCCACGCCCTCCCAGCCTGAGAAACTTTAGAAAGGCAGGCCTCACCCATCAGCCAGTGAGCAACACCCAGTGCCTACCCAAAGGGCAGCTTCCAGAGACCACCCTTGTAGAGGGCGACAGGAGTGGCTACGGCCAGAAAACCCAGCAGAGCCAAAGGTCAAAGAACAGAGAAGCCAGGATGAGGCGCTGGACACAGGTGCCGCAGGCCCAGGGGGCAGCCGTGAGAAGAAGCTGGGAGGGTCACGGGCCAGAACACCCAATGCTTCTTGGTCCCCGACTCCCCCCCGAGGCTGGCCACCAGCCTCATCCTCCAGTCTTCAGAACCCCAGACACCCACCCAAACATGGCTTAGGAAACTGACCCACCCCACGGGGAGCAACTGCCCCAACCCCTAAAAAGGCAACAGGACCTAGGAAAGGAAAGCAATGGAAACCGCAACCCCCTCCCCTGCCAGTGGTGCAGACCAGCCCAGGTGGCGCGCTGGACGGGGCAGGAGAGAAAGGAGAGGAAGGCCAAGCGTGGGGCTGGGGCCCGAGCGCACCCTCCCGCCATGGGAAGACGGGCCCCCCTGTGGTCACTTCTCCCCTCACTTTGGGTCCTTCCGCCTTAGGCCCTGGGCCTCCCTCCACCCCATGCTCACCACCCACCCCAGCAGACAGCCTCTCAGCAAACAGAAAGAACAGAGGGAGGGGTCAGGGAGTGACCGGAGCTGGGGCGGGGGAGGGCAGGCACAGAACTGCGGCCTGGGCGGCCCTGGCTGCTCAGGCCCTAGCACGAGGTGACCGGATGGATGGGCAGCAAGCTCCCGAACTTGAAGTGCTGGATCACGGGAAACTTCTCCAAGCACTGTGAAGGGGAGAGGGGAGAAGAGAGGTGAGGACGGCGCCGCACCCCTGCCAGAGGCCCACTCGGCCTCTCAGGCCTCCAAGCGACCCCTGGACAACTCTGGAGCCTCGGACAGGCACGGATCCCAGGAAGTGTCTCCCCAGGGCCCAGGAAGGGGGCCATCTCAGGGGGAGCTCCCGGGGCCTCCCGGGAAAGGGAAGACTTCCTACCTGTTTCTGACCACCTCCTCCCAGCTAAAGACCTCCCCCCCCCAACTCCATGACAATCAGACCCACCAAATAATGAGTGAGGGAGAGAGAGAAAGGGAGGGAAAGAGAAGGCAGCCCAACCTCACGGCGGGGGGGGGGGGGGGGGGGGGGGGAGATGGGGGAGGGCAGGGAGTTGGGGACCAGAGATGAAAAGAACCCTCCAGACCAGAGGGGAGCGCCCAAGCCCAGGCCCCCCGTCCTGGAGAAGAAGTATGAGGACATTTGGATACAAGCTTGGGAAAAGGGTCCAAGACCCATTTTTCTGCAATTTTCAGTTCCCTGAACTGAAAAGGGCGTGCTGGCGAGCACTTCACGGTGAGACAGTAAGAACCAGGTAATGTCCCTCGACCCCCAGGGCAATTCCCAGCAGCCCTGCGCATGGGGCAGACACAAGAACACTGAACAGGGGTATGGCCCTACTCCCTGAACCCAGCCCAGCCGGGACCTCAGCCCAGAGCTCTGGTGGAGATGGGGAGATTGGCAGGGCCTACCACAGAAGCGGGCCTGGCCCACAGGCTGCCGGGCCCCAGGCCACACACCTCGACCCTCTGACCCAGGCACTGCTCAGCACCATACAGGACCAGGAAAGGGAGGGGGGCCCCAGCTCCCGGCCTCCCCACCCCAATCCTGCTGTGCCCAACTCAGGCCCTGGTCACTGGCTAGCTCTCTCGGGCAGCAGCTCCGCCCCGAGCAAGGGAGGCTCCGCCTTCTCTCATACCTTTGACCACAGAAAACCACCAGGATGGCTGGGTCGGAACATGACTTACAGCTTCAGATAGGGCGATTCCTGCTCTGTGACTGTGGCCTCAACCTCCTCCTAAGCTTCGGGGCACAAAGGTGTGCCCCGACGGGCCCAGGTCCCCTCATCTCAACAACCAGGTGCAGAAATGAGGAGGTCTTGACCAGCTGTAGGTCAAGTGGGGGACAGTCAAGGCCTGAAGGGGGCTCAGGAGGTGAGCAGGAAAAGAAAAATCTTTCTGTGTGATGGAAGAAGGATGAAGAGCTAAGCTCCGAGAGGGAGCAGAGCTCCAGGCCACAGCCAGGCTGCTGGGCCGACAGCAGAGAAAGTGGGGAGCAGGCCGGGGTGGGGTTCCTCAGGGGGAGGAGGCGCAGAAGCAGCCCCAGCAGAGGCAAAGGCAGCTGCCGTTGTGCTTATGTCATCAAGGAAGTGGTGGGAGTTTGTAAAAGGGCCCCCCCCCAGGGCCCTGGAATTCCACAAAGGGTCAAAGGTCAACCTGCTTCTAGCTCTCATTCAAAGGAAGCTGCAAAGGCCAGAGGCTTAGCAGGAGGGGGCAGGGGTGGTTCTCCGCACTCTGCCTTCAGGGACCCAGAACAAGTTTCCCCAGGGCCACGGGACAGGAGAGGGGCTGGGCCAAAGGCAAGAGGCTACCTGGGGCAAAGGAAGCCTGAGGCTTCAGGACAACAGCGGGAGGGAGCCCCTGGTCAGGCCTTCTCCCAGCTAGCAGTGCCCGGGGGGGGGGGGGGGGCTGGGGGGGCAGAGCAGCATCTTCAGCTCCGCCGGCCCCGCACAGACACTTCAGCGGGAGGCCCGGATCTGCAGGCCCTTCCAGGTGCTGGTGTTTCAAGGGGCAGAAGGGATTCTCCAGGCCCTGACAAGGCCCTTGGGAAATGAGCACCAGCAGTGACAGCCCTCGGGAAAGACAGGGCCCACCACCCACAAGGGCACCGAACACGTTTGCTTCCTCACTTCAGAAAGGCAGGGGCAGAGATGCACACGGTGGGTCCCAAATCCCGAGGCCACCTGATGCCAGGCCTGGTCAGGCCTCTGTGGCAGCTCAGGGGACCAACTCCCCTCCCAGAGCCCACTCTGCCTGGTGGCCCTGGCCTTGCTCGGACTTCAAGACTGGTGGGCCTCGCGGGTCTTCCCCATGGACTGAGAACTGACCTGAAAACACAAGTCCTTTTCCTTGGACCTCTGGGAAGGGAGCAGGCGATCCCACGGGCTCTCGGGGACCAAAAAACCAAGGGGTACCTGCTAGCAACGTCACCGAGATGCGGTGTTCCTAAATCCCCAGTCAGGGGGCTCCAGCGCTATCCTACAAAGAAGTCTGGCCGCCACCCAGCACCTGGCAAGGCTGCCGGCTCGTGCTGCACCTGCGAGCATCCAGAGCTGGAGTCTCCCCCGTTTGGGGGAAGGGTACTTTGTGATCCCCTGGTGTTCCCTCGGTCTGGGCCTGAGCTGCGGTGGCTGTCCTCCCGCACCCACAGAAATCCCACAACGGTTACAACTGTTCTATTCTGTTTCTGCGGCTGCACCACCATTTGGAATCTTAGCTTGCTCCTCCCTCATCCTGTCGGGCTGGAGCTCCTCCTCTGCAAGGGGCAGGTAGGGGAAGGGAGCAGGGGCTCCTGCTCTGCCCGAAGGGCCACTCCCGCACCCCCCAAGATAAGTTTAGAGTCATGCAGGAAGGACAGCACTTCAGACCCCAAAGCAGGAAAGGCACCAGAGTCCTGCCTGTGGCGCCCGGGAGCAGGGGTGGGAGGCTGGAGGGGCCAGGCACTCCTCACACACTGCACACAGCCCCCAGCAGTGGGGACGGGTTCCCCACCGGCACCCACTGTGGGACTGGCAGGGGGTGGGTGTCAGGAACAACAGGACACCCCGCGGGCAGTGACCCGGGTGCTCTCCAGGCAGGGGACAGCTGGACTGGAGGGCCCAGTGGGCTAGCCCGGAAGGAGTCTGCGCAGCCCCAGCAAACGCTCCTCTCAGATTAGAGAGGTATGTGGGTTGGAACCTAAACACAGGATGTGAAGTCCAGAGGAAGGGGACCGGAGGGGGAGGGGGCGGAAGGGAGAGACGGGGCCAGGCCCCGGTCAGTTCCAGCGCCATTAACCCCTTCAGGGCCATGCAGAGAAACAGGGCCAACTGGACCACCAGACCACATCCAAGCCTCTAGTACCCTCTCCTCCCTGCACCCCTGCCTCCATCGACAGGATCTGAGTACACTCTGAGGGTAATGAAGCAGACCCAGGGAACCGACCTCCCTCCCTCCGTGGGAGAGGGCTGGCCAAGGGTCAAGAGATGGGCACCCACGGGACAACGTCGAAGTCCACCAGCCTGAGGGCAGAAAGAGGGGACTTTGGGGACTCGTTACTCTCGGTGAGGGACTTCACATCTAGGCCCTTCCGTGGCCACGGTCACGCAGCTCTCGCACTGGCGTGCACAGATGTGAAAGGAGCTAGCGGAAGGGACAGGAGGGAAAGGAAATCTCTGCTCCCTACTTGCAAGAAAAAAAAGCCACCCCCTCGGCGGGAAAAGGGCGCCGGAGAGGAAAGAGGGCAGAGGGCACCCTCAGGAGCTGGGCAGCCAACCCCCAGCAGGGGGAGCTCAGGGAAACCGCCTCCTCGCCGCGCCTCTCCCATCTGAGAGCAGGGAGACCGCCTGAAGTGCTTGCCAGAGGTATCTGCTCCCAGAGACCTCCCACCTGCCCAGGGACCGGACCCACCAAAGACTGAGAAGAACCAATCTGGATGGTGCCTGCAAAGCACATCCACTTCTGCGTCCCCATGGGAGACACAGCTGTGAGGGGCCTCTGGCCGTGCGACAGAGCCCTGAGCTGCAGGGCCTTGACTCATCAGTCACAGGGCAGAGCCGGGCCTCCGCCTAGTGATTCTTTGCCTGCCTATCCCACAGACAGAGACTCCGAGGCCTGCAGGGTCAGAGGGGCTGGCCCAAGATTCGGAGCCAAGCAGCAGAGGGGGTGGGTCAGCAGCCCCAGGACCAGCCCTTCTCACCTCGGCCTTGTACATACGGATCAGACCCTGGTTCACTTTGGACCAGGAGGGCACAGCGCTGATGTTCCACAGCTGGTTGGAGTGCTCTGCAAAGGGGCCTGTCTTCATCTGGAAAAGAGAATCCACAGCTGGAGAGGCAGGCTACCTGGGAGCTCATCCCCCGGATCCCCATAGCAAGGTCACGCATATGTGCGTGCACACAAGCATGCACGCACACACGCACATACAAACATGCGCACGCGCACGCTCACGCACAAACATGCACACGCACGTACAAACATGCACGCGCGCTAAAGCACATACGTGCACGCGTATATATGCACGGACAGACACGCACACACATGCATGTATGCTTCAGGACTTGGCTGCATCATCTGGGGGGGAGGGTACACACACGCGCACACACGCACACACACACACACACGCACACACATAAGTACCACAGACGGTCTCTCTTGGTCTGCAAGACCCACTGGGAAAATATAACCTCCAGAGTCACCCCCTTTCTTCCCCAGCCAGAAAAAGGGGGCCCGATTCCCACCGCCACCACATTCAGCAGCCTCAGAAAAATAAAATCTCAACCCAAGCACCGGCTGGGACTCCCAGCAATTCCTACCCCTCAGCCACCGAGAGCGCCACACCAGCGCCAGGGACCTGCTCCCATTCAGATAAACAGCAGCAGCAGGCCCCCCAGCCCTCCCCGGCCCCACACACAGGGTGGGCTCTACTGCCAGGTGCTCGGGCTGTACCTGCCACAGGCAGAGCCAGAGCCAGAAGAGCGGGTTTGGGGGAAGGGCAAGGTGGGGAAGACCAAATCCAGGCATCCAAATGCCCTCTGTGTGGCAGGCAAAAGGGAGGGAGGAAAAGAGGGGGCAGATGTGAACCGTGAGCCGGGGGCACCTGCAGCAGATTCGGGAGGAAGGTCTGTTTAGAAAGCCCACCCCACTAGGCCGGGAGGTAAAGAAGGGACGGCACTGACAGCAGCAAAGGACAGGCTGGAGCAAGGACAGCTCCATTCCTGTCCCTCCTCTTGCCAAGAGTTTGACACTCCAGGAAGGAAAGAGACTCTGCAGCAAGCCCAGTGACGTTCCCATGACATGAGAAACCACAGCACTGAGACAGGGAGGCTTGTGTGCCTGCGTGCACCCCTCCGCACAAGGCCAGCACATCTGTGGCTAGCAGGCACTTCAACCCCCCTCAACACTGCCCCCCAAGCTTATAAACAGTACTGGTGCTGGCTGGGAGAATGGGGTTCAGCACCCTGAGCCCCAGGCTTCAGAAGAAAGAGTCTGAAAAGCAAAGAGGCTAAGCTGGCAAGGAAACAGAGACTTGGACCCTGAGTGGGTGGAAGGTTCCAGAAGAGGCTGTGAGAGGAGGCGCGGAGGGGGAGAGCTGTTCCAGGGACAAAGGATGGGCCTAAAGCTCCCTCTCCATGTTGGGCATAAGGACAGGGGCCCAGGAACTCATAATACCCCATCGTTTGGCTGTGGACTCCCCCGGGTGACCCACTCCCACACGCCTCTCATTTCTCCAATAAGGGCCTTGTACCAAACTGCAAGATTTAAGTCCAAAAAGCTGCCATTTACTACTGTCACCTCCCTCCCCTGGCTAAAGTTCCCCAAAAGCCTGTCTCAACCCCCACGTTCAGTAGCAAGGACAACAGATTCCTTCCTCTAGCAGCGAGGCCACAGCCTGAGGTGGCAGATGGAGACAGGACCTACCCTGGTGGCCGCAGGGCTTTTCCTGGGTTAGTGCCTACACCCACAGTCTTTCCCCACCTCTATTTCTAAGGCTCCCTCCTCCAGGATGGCTGCAGGTACCCAAAGCCTACGGGGCCTGGCCTTCAAGGAGCTTTGTTCCATCCATCCTACTCAAGCAGGCTCCACCCCCAACTACCAGCCCTCCCTCTCGCCCCACCCCTTCCCCCAAAGCTCTCTGGCCCTTGGGGACCAGCGCCAGGCTCCAGTCCTCTCCTGCACACTTCCAGGCCCGGAGAAGTTCAGGGATCACTGGAGATGTGTAATCAGTTTCACTCTGGACAAGGCCCAGTGAACAAACCACCCCAGAGGCACCCTGCTGGCTTGGTCCCACAGCATAGCTCCAGAAGCCTGCTCAGCAAGGGCCCTGAGGCCTGAGCCAGATGACGCTGGGAAACCAGAGGCTCTGCCTCGTGGGCCAGCCTCACCCATTAGGGGCACGGGAGGGGACCCCAACAGGCCTCTCTGGCCTGCTGGCAGAGCCCCAGTGGCCCTGCCCCTCCCCACGGAAAGGCCAAAGATGCTCTTTTCTCTGGAGGAGCTGCCCCCCCAACTCCACCCCGCCCCCAGGCCTTCAGTGTCCCCAGGTCTCCCTAAGTCCTTCAGAAGGAGACTTTGCAACTCTGGGAAAGGAAAACAGACGAGGGGGGAAAAAAGGAATCGGGAGCGAGAAGACCAAAAAAAAAAAAAAAAAAAAAAAAAAAAAATTAGCTCATTCTAGCCACAAAGGGAGAAGAGAAAGAGCGAGAACGAGCAAGCAAGCTGCAGTCCCGCAGTGACCCCAGGGGAATCGTGTGAGTCAGAGCAGCCATATTGAGCAGGAAATTACTCACAGACGCTGCGTTCCTGCCTCTCCACTCCCAGGAGAATCGGCCTTTTGTAAATGGTTCCTCTGTCAGTAACTGAGGGGGGATGGGGGGAGGCTCTGCACAGCGCCTTCCTGTCAGCTCCTTCCCTTCCAGCTGAAATCTGATCCCTCCCTTCCCAAAACTCCAAATTTAGAAGCCAGATTGAAACTGAAATTCTTTTCCTGCCTGCCCTGGGCTCTTAAAGGCGCCAGGGCTGCATTTCCTGAGACAGCAGAAGCCCTGCAAGGTGGGGTCCCTCATCCAGGATGCCCAGGGCTACCAGGGCAGGTCCTGGGAGACGGGGAGGAGACGCCCAGTTCCACTTCCAACTTCTTGTTGTTTTGTTTTTTCCTCCTAGTCGCACCAGCCGTCCTGAAGCCCCGGTCTCCAGGGGCAACACCGCCCCCCTTCCAGCCCGAAGCCCACGGAACTCTGCACAGACCCCCAGGTCCCCTGTGTCCCAGTGGCAGGCCTTCAGTCTCCCTTGGTCAGGGTGAGCCAGGCCAGGTCACTCATGACGAACTAGGGGCGGTGAAACACTGGTGCAGGGTGGAAGGGGGCTGGGGTGGGCGTAGCGAGCACCCGCAGTGCCAGTCAGGTCTCAGCTTGGCCAGGTGGGTGAAAGGGAGCCCTCAGCCCTGCTAGCATTCAGTGTTTACCACCATGCCCAAGCACCTAGACCCAAAGTGGAAACCAGGCCTCGCAGAGAGGGTGCAGAACAAGCAAAAACTCTAGGCTCTGCCTCTCTGCCTCTCCCCCGATTAAGTTACTAAAACCTTCTCGAAGTTCAATGTGCCCTTAGCGCCATCTAGTGTCCACTGCAGGATTTCCTCCAGCAGAGGAACTGGGTCCCAAACTTTAGACAGCTTTTGGGTTTTTAGACCAGCATAACCAACCAAAGAAATAAAAATACAAAACTTTAACCTGGAATCAATTCCCATCTTCCCCGAGGCCCGGCCTGGCCTTCTTCCTTGTTAGTCACTGACGGGGACACAGGGGCTTGGCCAGCCACCAGAGGGGGCCACAACGGCTGAGCCTTTTAACCCCCACGTGAGCAAAGCAATGGCTCAGCCTAGAATGTGTACCCCTTCTCCCCACCCTGCTCCTCCCGCTCCTCCCAGGGTCTCCCAGGGCTCCCCAGACCCTCGCATTCCCCTCTGGAAAGGGAAGCACATGACTGGCTCTTGAGGCAGTGAGCCAGGCTGCCCCAAGTCCTTCTGACCTTGGGCCTGCTACACTGCTGAAGGCAGCAAATCTGAGGCTGAAGCAGTGGCCGCCCAGCCATCAGTCCCGGCTCCATTTGCTGACTTGGAAAAACGTGTCATTCCCCTCTGGCCTCTGGAGTTTGGCAGAGGTCTGAGCCGAATGCTGACCATGAGCAGCCTGGGGCAATGGCTGCTTAACCAGGCTTCTCTGTTCAGGGGCCTCAGAACTGGGGCCAAGAGAGCAGCCCCGGTGGGGAGGGGACCACGGCCATGGCAGGAGCATCACTGGGCCCAGACGTGCATATGGGCATTGGAAAGAGAATGGTGGCAAGACCCTCTCCAGACAGCAGAACAGGGTACCCTTTGAAAGTTTGGGGGAAGGGGGAGAGGTATGCAGCAGGGAGGATGAAAGGTCCTGACAGCTCCTGAGAGACAGGCCCTTGAGCAGTGAGTCCCCAGTTCCGTGCGAAGTCACCTGGCAAGTGCATTTAATATAGGTTCCTGGCTCTTGTCCCCCAGGATTCTTGATTCAGAAAGCTGGCACTGGGCACAGGAACGTGGATTTTAACAAGCTCCCTGGGTGACCTTGAGGAAGTGGGAGACCCGGCCTTAGTGGGCAACAGCACCCAGTTAATAAACATCCCCTGCCAGGTGGGCTGGGGGCCCAGGCCTGTTTGGTTCACCTCCAGCACTTCAGCTGGCCCATGTCCTCAGGCACTGACAGAGATGTGTCCCCTCAGCAGAAATCTATCCCTGCTGTCCGCATGAGTCTCTCGGCCTCCTGCAATGGTGTCATCCCACACAGCCACATGCATGTGCTGGACAGGCCTCATGGGCCCCACACACCCGTCTCAGACCTGCTGCATCGGTCACCAAGTGCACTAGTGACGGAGTCTCAGTCCCTCAAGCTCGAGGCCCACGGAGTTCAGGAGTCACCCCAGACCAGTGATTTGGGGGAAATCCTGGACAGTCAGAAGGGGGCTTAACCTTTCATAGGCCTGGTGGGCCTTCCTTGTCAATAACCCACCTCTGAGGGCCAGCCCTGCCGTCCTCAGGCAAGAGTGCTGGCTCTTCCGTCCCACTCCGAAGCCACCAGCCCCAGTTCATCCCGGCCTGGAGGCCGCATGGGCTCCTCCCTCACCCCCTTCCCCTCACCTCAGTGATAAACAGGATACACTCCAGGAACATGTAGTCTTTGTGGTTCTCATTCACAGCCTTCTCATCGACAAAGTGCCTGGGCTCCAAATAAGGGTGGTCTGGGAACAGCAAAGAGCCCCAGCGTTCAGAACCAGACATTCACACCCACCAAGCACCTCAGCCCAGGGCGGTCTACACCCACCCTGGGGCCACAGTCCCGCCCACGTGCCCTCAACACTTGACCTTGCGGGAGAAATCAGTGAGGGGTATGTGTATGTGCGCACGCACAGCTGTGCATGTATGTGTTCTAGTGGAATGAGCAGTGGCTCTGCCTTTTTCTAGCCGTGTGACCTTGAACCAGTGACTTCAGCCCTCTGAGGCTCAGCTTCCTCATCTGTACAGTGGGGCTATGAGGAGCACCTCCCTTATACTGCCTGATGGTTGGGACCACAGGAAAACCCCAGGCACGGCACCCACACAGGTTAAGCATTCGTCAATGGTGGCTAGTCTCAGGCAGGCAAAGACCCTTCCCAGGGTCACTGAGAAGGTTCTGGGAACCTTAATCTACCTAAAATGCTTAGAGCAGTGCCTGGCACAGAGCAAATACGCAAATGCTTATGAGTATTATTTTGCAGGCGGTTAATCCTACCCTGAAGCAAAAGTCACCACCCGATCCTCACCCAGCGGAGACCCCAGGGAGCTGCCCCAGCCTGGAAAGCAGGGGCCAAGTCGGGGGAGCCAGCAGAGAGGGCCCACAGGAAGCGGCTCACTGCCCCACGCTGGGTGGCTGCTCCCTGATGGGCCCCCTTGCACACAGCTCGATGATAACGGAGGATGATGCCGGTCACCAAGTCAAAAGAGCCCCTCATTTTCAACATAAAACCCGCAGCTGCTGCCAGGAGCTGGGGCGCATTTCACACCAGTCCATTATGCGCCAGGCGAGCGCCCCTGCTCCAGTCCGTGTCACTTTCTATTATCTCGGCACACTCTGCCTCCGCCTCCCCCGGCCTGCCGCGCTGGCTGGCAGCACAAGGTCGACAGCAAACAGCCTCCGTCAATAGCCAGTCTAATGCCTGCTTTATAAGCTGTCACTGTCTGCCCTGAGCAGCAGAAGTGAGGCGGGAAAGGAGGAGGGCGGACAGAGCACACACCCCTGGGGGGGGGGGCGGGCAGAGGGGTAGGCACCCCTTCAGTACCTATCAGCTGCGAGCTACCCCAGATGAAGGGCAGAAACTGAAAGTCGTCCAGGCCCCACACTCCCTGGCTGCCGGCTGGCTCCATCCTGTATGTCTTCTGGAGTTTCCGCATAACCTCCAGGTACCTGCGCAGGAGGTGGGGGAAGAGAGAGGCAGCAGAAAGCAGAGAGACAGTCTCAACCCTTCTGCCACTGGGAGCTCACGGAGGCCAGAAATAACTACCTAAGAGTGTAACTGGTCTCTATTTTCAATGAAAACCTACATGCGTAAGTTATGCATCAGCTGGTACTCTCAAAATAATGTCGCTTTATTTTTTTCTCCCACGCTCAGCCTTCTTTTGGCCCAGGAAAGGGGGGTTTAGCGCCAGCAACTCCTGACAATGTGAGACCCTGGGCAGGAGCCCCAGGCTCTCTAACTCTGGGCTGCCCATCAGAAAGCTGGTGGGGGACAGAGCAGGTCATCTCCTGGGGCCTTCCGGCTCCCACCTTCCCTGTTCTCAGGGGCTGCGTCAGCATCACCACAGTGGGGCCCGGAAAGAGAACGGGTGCTGTCAGAAGCCTCTGGTGGCTGCACCACACCTGTACGGCTGGGCAGGTGGTTCGGGGGGGGTGGGGTGAGGTGGGGAGCGGGTCAGAGCCCGACTGCAGGGGTTCAGCTGGCTGTGTGAATTCAGGGATCAGAAGACAGCTGATTTCTCTGGGCCTCCGTTTCTTCATCTATAAAATGGAAATGACTGGGGTGCCTGGGTGGCTCAGTTGTTAGGCGTCTGCCTTCGGCTCAGCCCATGACCCCAGGGTCCTGGGATCGAGCCCCGCATCGGGCTCCCTGCTCGGCGGGGAGCCTGCTTCTCCCTCTCCCACTCCCCCTGCTTGTGTTCCCTCTCTCGCTGTGTCTCTCTCTGTCAAATGAATAAATGAAATCTTAAAAAAAAAAAAAAAAATGGAAATGACGGTCACTGCTGCCTAGAGCTGCTGGGGGAATCTAGGGAGGGAGCTGCGCGTGGAGAGCTCAGGACGCAGCTCGACACGGCAAACACACGGAAGCATTAGCAGTCGGCACGTGACTTTCCTTCGCTTGTCCTTACTTGGATCTGAACCTGTCAGAAGGCTTCTGGGATGCCCCGTCCACAGCCAGAGCTCGATCAGGACAGGCCAGAAGAAGCAACAGCCAGTCAGGAGCGCCTGCCAGCATCCTGCCCCAGTCTGACAGGGAGAGGAGACCCCTGCTGCTCTTCTTCTCACTCACCGATCAAACACCTTGAAGACGATGGCTATTTGGTCGTCTACCCGAAGCACCCCGATCTTGCAGAGGCAGCAGAGGAAAGCAGCAAAGGCTGCTTCATGTCCTAGGGGAGAAAACAGCCGAGGTCGACGGTCTTCCAGAAAAAGTAGTGGTACTGTTCTTGGTCTCACCAGAGTCCAAATCACTGAGAACTGCCCCTCTACAGAGGGGGGTCAACATGGAGATAATGGGGCCTCTGCCCCTTCCAGAAAGACCCAGGACCTTTTGAGAACTACCACTACTATAATTCTAAAAGGTGGACTTCTTAAACAGACATTTGCATTGTGTTTTGTAGGTTTAACTCACTTGTCAGTTCCACGCTATCTATTGAGCACCTGCTACAATGGCAGCCACTTTCCGTGTCAGGCACTAGGGAGACCACATCCATGCCTTTGCGTGATAGTTTATGATCTACCAGGATGACAGACATTAAACGGACAATCACTTCTATAATTCCAGCTCTGAAGGAGAAGGACAGGGTGATAACTGGAGGATATCACAGGGGGCTCAAGAAGATTTCCCTAAGGAAGTAATATTTAATCTGAAAGATGAGTAAGAGTTGGTAAGGCACTGGGCGTGAGGGAAGCAAGAAGAGCAATCTAGCCAGAAGAAACAGCATGTGCAAAGGTCCTGAGGTGAGAAAAACTGGGGTATGTTTGAAGAACACTAGGAAGGCCAGTATGGCTAAAGCAGAGAGAGCAAGGGAGAAAGAGTAACGAGATGAGGCTGGCGACCAGACAGGCCTTACCTGCTACGTAAGAAGCTCAGACTCAGTACCCTAAGAGCAACGGGAGCCACTGAAGGCTTCCAAGCGGGGAACAACACATGGTCACATTACAGGGTCAAAAGGCAGCCCTTTCCATGGGGTCCCTGGCTGGCTCAGTCAGTGGAGCATGTGACTCCTGATCTCGGGGTTGTGAGTTCAAGCCCCACAGTGGGTGCCAAGATTGCTTCAAAATAAAATCTAAAAAAAAAGGCACTCCCTTCCTTTCCCAGTCATGTCAAACAGGAATGGTCAGCACTACCGACACCACTGATCAGACTCCAACTGAATACCATGGGTCACAGTATTGTAAAAAAATGTATTTGGACCGAGGCAGGGAAAGAATATTTCAGCGACTTCCTGGCCCAGCTCTGTAGAATGAAGGTGCCTCCAGGGCCTGGGAAGCTCGTGAGCTGTTCCTCTCACCTGCACTGTTTCTGATCTCCACCAGCCAGAGTCCCAGCCACCATCACTCAGGGGCTCTTGCACACTTCACAGCAGAAGAAAAACCCACCCCTGGCTGACCTGGCCAGTCTCCCCTTCAGGGTCCCTCCCGGTCAGTCTCAGTCAAAACCCCACCCCGGGGAAGTCTCAAAACACTTGATAAACCTGCTCCCCAGCAACAGGGGGAACAGAAGACAACGCCTCCCCAGGACCCAGGTTCAAGGGAAGGGGGCCCTTCTCCAGGCCTGCCAACGTGGCCTGTGCTTGTCTCGAGGAACCTGAGCCCCAGGCGAGGGGAAGGCCTAAGAGAGCAGCCGCTCTTGCACTTGTCGCTTCAGGACAGGTCAGACAGGTGAGCCTACTACAGCAGGGTCCTCCCTCGCCCCCCCCCCCCCCCCCCACAGAGATAACACTTCCCCTCTGAGGTGCCTGCATGTGCCCTCTCCCAGAGAACTCAGCAGCACACAGACACTGGGCTAGAAGAGGGCGTGCCACAATGCTGCCGGGCGCTACCGAGCTCTTTCATTTCTCAAGGCTCTGGTGAAGGGTCGCCTTGAGATATAGTAAGTGCTCAATAAATTATTTGCTGATGGTGCTAAGCTCACAGACCCTGTCTTTACAAAGAACAGAAATCGGTGCTGCACAGAGACACCATGCACATGGCATCAGCTCCCCCTGGTGGACCAAGGCAGAGCCGCGGGAGCAGCACCAGGCCTCCCCGCACCCGGGGGAGGGGGGGCGGGCACTGCACCCCAGCTGGCCCCAAAAGGCTGCTTGCTCAGATGGCCCCGAGACAATCTGGAGCAAAGAGGAAGCAGCCCAAGAAGAGACTGCAGTGAAGCCAAGTAAACACCGGGAGTGGCAGGTACCTGTGCCATAGTCGATGCGTGTGGAGTTCCCCACTGACTCCTTTAGGTAAACAGCCACCTCAGGCACGGCAGCTGCCAGATGGGTGGGGACCACTGTGGCCACCAAGTTTTCTGCTTCCTGATAACACAAGAGACACAAAGTGGTGGCAGCAGATTAGGCAGCATCCTGGTGGCAGGCACCCGGGAGCAGCATTTGGCTGGGGCCCGGTTGGCCATGCCAGGCCGGCCTGGCTCCCTGCTCTGACTGGAAAGCTGAGGAGGGAGACACTGACCCTTATGCCACAGAGTCACTACCCCGGGGTGGCTTTTCGTCTGCTGGCCCTTCCTCCAGGGGACAAGGGTCTGGGACAAGATGGGAGGGAACTGCAAAGAAGCCATTCAACTCCCCCATCTGGTAACTCGCTGACATCCCTACAGACACCATCTTTCTTCACATTCCCGGGATAACAAGAATGTGTGCCGTATATCCACCCAAACACGCATACAAGAACGTTCATAGCAGCGTTATTCGTGGTAGCCAAAATGTGGGAACGAGCCGCCACCGAAACGTCCACCGATCACAGACCGTGGTGCAGTTAGGTGCTGGAACACGACACCGCAAGGCAAACGCTCTGCTGCTCAGCACAACATGGGGGACTCTCAGAGACAGAACACTGAGCAAAAGAAGTCAGACGTTTATAAGAAGTTCAAAAACAGGTAACACTGATCTATGGGATGGAAATCAGAAGAGTTTGCGGGGTGGGGATATCAACTCGAAAGGGGCACCAGGGCCCTGCCGGAGTGCTGGAAAGTTTTAGAGCTTGATACAGGTGGGGGTGCAAGGGCCAAACATGCTGAGATCCAGCCATCCACACAGCTGCGAGTTATTCACTTTCCTTTAAGTTTTAACTCAATAAAAATCTTTAGAAAAGACTCCGTACCCTCTTAAAGGCCAGAGGCAGCCCTAGGCTGCTCTGAGGCAGGGACAGCATTCTGCTGGGTCCCTGGGGCTCCCCCCTGCTCCAGGAGGAAACACTGGGCCAGAGAAATGAGGACCTAAGTCTCTCTAGGTGCAGTCTATAGACACCTGGCAGGAAAATCTCCTGGAGACCTGAGGAAACTCTGGATTCCTGGGCCCCACCCTAGACCTCCAGACTGCTTTTCTATGGACAGGGCCCATGAGCCTGCATTTTTATTTGTTGCTTGCTTTGAACAGCTATCACTGCTATAGGACTCAAAACTAAAGACATTAAAAAGATAAAAATACACTGAATTCTACTCCAGAAACCAATATTGCACTGAATATTAACTACCTAAAATTTAAATAAAAATTAATAATTTAAAAAATCAAGAAAAAGAAGCACAACACTAAATTCTTTGGGATTTGCCAAGAAAATAGAAAAGTAAAAAAGTAAATAAATACACACATTACAAACGGGACGCACTGAGAAGTTTCTGTCCCCTTTCCCACTCTCCCCTGCCCTCAGAGAAGTCACAGCTTTATTAGCCTCTTGTACATCCTTCCAGTGACGCTTCCTTATGCAAACTGAGCAGCACAAACATATCTTTTCATTTTTCCCCTCTTTCCTACCAAAAAGTAGCTCGCCATGTGTCAGACCCCAGGTTCCTCTTTAACGGAACAATAAACCCCAGACCACCTTCCCCCAAGCTCCTAGTGGGCTCCTAGTCTTTCTCATGGCTGCGCAGCACTCCAGGTTAGACCTACTAGTCTATCTGACTGGTCCCCTGCACGTGGACACTTGCGACATTTGAATCTGTTGCTAATGCAAACAATGACCTAATTAACAGCCCCATGCAGGGGACTGGGCATCCATAGTGGCGATTCAGAAAAGATGGTGGGGGCAGAGGGTAAATGCATTTGTACTTTTGGTAAATGGAATCGCCGCTTTAACAAACTCCCCAGTGATTCTGAGATGCCTGAAAGCTCCTGCACCCCCTGGCCCAGCCCCCAAGCACGTCGTGTGGCAGCCTCACCTCGTCAAGTTTGGCATACCAGGTCCTGTAGGCCTTGTTCCCAAATCGAGAGGGCTGGTCCACCGGAGGGGTCTCATCAATCCACCTGTCCAGCGTGTTGAGAAGGGTGACCAGTTTCTCAATGGCCTGTAGTAAGCAAAATAGAGGGGCCAAGCACAATGACTAGTGGCCCCCATCTAGAGCCACAGGGAGAAGTCCCAACTGCTGCTGGACAATGACCCGTAGGCGTGGCATTAGTGGTTAAGTGCTGGGGAGATCATACACTCCTACAGGATCAAGTTTTTAAATCCAACTGTCTGGGGGCACCCGGGTGGCTCAGTGGGCTAAGCGTCTGCCTTCAACTCGGGTCATGATCTCAGGGTCCTAGGATGGAACCCCGTTTCGGGCTCCCTGCTCAGCGGGGAGTCTGCTGGTCCCTCTCCCTCTGCCCCTCCCCACATTCACGCTCCCTCGCTCTCTCACAAATAAGTAAATAAAATCTTTAAAACACGGGCCCCAGGGCACACATTATTTTGTCGCCTGCTCAATTTCCTCATGAGCCTCATTCCACATCAACATGTAAACATAATTTTACGACAGCCTTTACTAAGTTAATAGCATCTCATTGTGCCAACATACTATAATATTTTACCGAATCCCTGCCTGTTAAACGTTTGGGTTATTCCCAATTGTTCCTTCCCACAAACAATCTGGGCAGCCCCCGTCTGCAGAACTGCTGGGTCAGAGGTCCAAACCTGTGTAATGCTTTGCAGGGCCACAGCCTCAGGGAGTCTATCTCCCTACACCTTTCCCACAGCAGGCAGGAACCAAGGAGTGGGATCGGTGCCACAGGCTGGGGCAGCGTTAGCACACAGCATGTTACGCAATGAGGAAATAGGTGAGGCTGATGATCCAAAACACAGGTCTGGAAGGGCAGCTAGAAAAGGACTCCTGGGTGTAGCTTGTAAAAAAAAAAAAAAAAAAAAAAAAAACAGGCCAGGGGCGCATGGGTGGCTCAGTCGTTAAGGGTCTGCCTTCGGCTCAGGTCATGATCCCAGGGTCCTGGGATCGAGCCCCGCCCCCCCCAAACCCGCATCGGGCCAGGGAGCCCGCTTCTCCCTCTCCCACTTCCCCTGCTGGTGTTCCCTCTCTCTCTGTCAAATAAATAAATAAAATCTTAAAAAGAAAAAAAAATAGGCCAAAACGAAAGGCTAGCGGAAGGCACAAGGCAGAGAGAGGGTGTTCAGAGGCAGGCAGCCCTGGGAGAGAAGACCTTGCCATGAAGCAGGTTTTGCCTGTGTCTACTGGGCACAAACAGCACAAAGAGAGACCTCCAAGAGCCCCTGACACTGGGTCGGACCTAGCAGGGTGGTGCCCACATGAAAAGTTGTGAGGAGGAAGGCAAGGCTCAGTCAAATCCACTGCTGCATTGCGCAGGCTCCGCACAGCAGCGGTCCAAGAGCTGTGCGGGGAAGGAAGTGAACTTGAGCTAATGGAATACCTGTCAGCCAGTGCCCACCCCCACATAGCTCCAGGAGGCACAAATCACACTGCAGGCCATGTAAACTGCGCCTTGTGCAACGTGACAATGGCCTCAATGTTGCCATCCCTCACCTCCCCTTTCTCTATGCTTGGGGTGCAAGAGCGAGCAAAAGTTACCTGTAAGAGGGGAAATCTCCCTGTACACCTGGCTGAGGCAGAGGGCCCGGGTGACATAAAGCTGCCCAGCTGAAATGTGAGACAAAGTGCTGCCAGAGGCCAGCTTTGTGAAGAAAGAGGTTACCAGGAACTGATAAGGACAGAGCAAACCTGATCCCATGCAGCAACTGGGACTCAGGAGTGATGAGGCAATAATCCCAGGCCCAGAAAGCACCAGCCAGGCCCAACTCCCTGACGATCTCAGTCTTGGGCAAAGCACTGAAGGGGATAAAGAAGGTGTGGGGAGGCCACAGTAAGCCAGGCCCCAGCTGCCAGCTCAGCTGGAGTAATGAATAATTAAAAGGCTCCGGGCTCCTCTTTCTGGAGAGGGTTTTTAGAATGCAGGGGCTGCCTCTATTGTCTGACTGGCAGGGGCAGAGGGGTTTGAGGGGGGGCTCCCCCGCTGTGGGCTGAACCCTCAGGAAGCACAAATTATAATTTGAACTACCCTCCAGCTTCCTAAACCAGTGCTTCCTTTTGGATTTCATGGACCAGTAAAATTTTCTCCAAACCACTACTTGCCAGCGTTTTCTTTGTCTTTGCCCCCAACTTAAATAGCAAACAGAACAACAGCAAAAAAATAAGCCTCTTATCTACCCACGTTTTGTAAAACCCCAAAATCTGAATCCCCAAGCATTAAGACAGATATAATCTCAAACTGCAGGAGGGCGCCTGGGTGGCTCAGTTGGTTAAGCGACTGCCTTCGGCTCAGGTCACGATCCTGGAGTCCCAGGATCCAGTCCCGCATCGGGCTCCCTGCTCGGCAGGGAGTCTGCTTCTCCCTTCTGACCCTCTTCCCTCTGGTGCTCTCTATCTCTCATTCTCTCTCTCTCAAATAAATAAAATACTAAAAACAAAAACAACAAAAACTGCAGGAGAGCCTTCTAAACATGGGTCTAGACAGTCTCACCACATTGCCCTTGCTTGTTCCCTTCGCGGCTGGTCTGGAAGCTTCCCCCTAGGGCGGCTCTGTCTGCCCTCTGCCCAGCTGCCATCCCTGTAGGAGGAGGCAGGAGTGAGAGGAAGCAGGAGCCCCAAGCAGCTGTGCTGGGGCCTCCCCCCATCTGTGGGCTGAGATCACACGCTGTGAGCCCTGCCTTCTGCTGCCCTGCCAGCCACTGGCAGAAGCTGGGAGACCTCTGGAGTCCAAACTAGTCACCTCTGCCCACCAAGTGATCACCCTGGCACTGGAATGAAACCCAGCTCAGGAAGCGCCCCCAACTGAAGCAATCACACCGCTACTGGAGGTCAGAACTGAAAAACAGCTCATGATAACAGCTAATAACGATAAAGACATCCAGTATGCTCCAGGCACTGTCCTAACAAGCCTACATGTAGGATCCCACTGACTCCTCCCCCAGGGGCCATGAGTCAGTCCGCCGGCTCTGTTACTCCACAGATGAGGAGATAGAGGGTCAGAGGGGACGAAACCACTCAGCTTGGAAGGGAGAGGTTATCCAAACCCAGTCAGCCTGACTCCAGAACCCAAGCACTTAACCACGCTGCAATCCTGCCACGAGAACAGCTCCTGAGCTAGGACAACACCCGGCCAGCGTGGAGTCTACCATCAAAGCGTGAGAGGAAGTTACGGGACCTCAGGATCTGCTGGGGTGATTAGAACACCCCCCAGTAATTAGCCTTCCCCCGCCACACTCCCTGCCCACTGAGGACAGCCGAGCCTCCCTCACCACAGGCTCAAGGACAAGCCCTCTCTCTCCCAACCCACAAACTCAATGGTGGGCCAGGCCCCAAGAGTAGGAGGTCTATCCCCAGCACAGGTCCGGCTCCCCTCCGGTGACAGAACAAGACCTCTGCCACTCCACAGCCAGTTGGGGCCCAGGAAGAGGCAGCTCTCCTGAGGCAGGGTGTGGACAGACCAGGTTACGACTGGGCCAGGCCTTATCCAACAGGGTGGGATAAGGCACTGAGAGGCAGCTCAGGCCCTGGTGTCTGAGATAAGAGTCTCAGGGTGACTGTGAGCCAACTGGGAGAGGAACCCAAGAGGCCACTGGAGGCCTGGGACCCAGCCCTTGGAGATGGCATCCAGCAACAGCAAATAGCCGGCAAGGCCACACCTCCCCGCAGCTCTTGTCCTTTCTCCACCAACAACCTATCTCCAGAAGAGCAGCCAAAGAGCGTCCATCCTGCAGTGCATGCCCTCAACTCAGCATCCCCACTTCCAGGAATGATTCCTCAGGAAAGAGCGCCCACAGATCTATATGTAACGATGTTCAGAGCAGCCACATTTAGGGACACAACCTCAAAGTCCACAGTTAGGGCTGTTTAAATAAAGGAGGGCCGGCTCAATGAGGCTACCATTTACATAGTGGAGGGGCAGCAGGAGAGGAGGAGCTCAGAGGGCAGGTCTGGGTGACATTCCCCAAACCGTTCCCGGGGCCGCCCCAGGGAGCTGGGTAGGAGGGGAAAGACAAGGAGAGGTCAGCTTTTTGTTAATACACTTCTATTAGTGAACCCTTCAGTGAAGCACACTTACTTCATTTATAATCTTTTTTCGTTTAAAAAGGTACATAAAAACACCAGTTAGCAAAAATGCAGGCTATAAAACAGCATAGTTACCTTGATCCCGATTTTATAAATATACATCTACTGACAAATTGGGGGAAAAAAAAAAAAAAAAGATTAGAAATACAAACACCAAGAAGGGCCCGGGGTGGCTCAGTCGGTTCAGTGTCTGACTCTTGGTTTCAGCTCAGGTCATGATCTCAGGGTCCTGAGATGGAGCCCCACCAGGATCCAGCTGCCGGGTCAGCTCTGTGCTCAACGTGGATTCTGCTTGTCGCTCTCCCTCCCCCCACTCATGCGCGTGCTCCTTCCCTCTCTCTCTCAAATAATAAATATTTTTTAAAAAGGAAAAGAAATACAAACACCAAAATGTCAACTGCACATGTGCTTAGGCGATCTTATTTCCTGCACTGGCCTGTTGTGGGCCGTGAGCACAGGTGACTCTCTGGAGCTGTTCTGGGAGCAGCCCTGCTGCAGCAGCCTCCCCTGCCTGTGCCTACCTCAGAGACTTTGTACTCGAAGGTCAGCTTCTTCCCCTTCACACCTTCGTTGAGCGTGAGGATGAATCCGATGTAGTCAGCGTACGCCTACCAAGCGAAGTGGGGAGTGGAGACGGAGAGAGGGGTGTCAGACCCCTGACCCTCCACACCCCAGCCAGCCCCCAGCTCCACCCAGTTCCCAAAGAGCTCCTAGCTGTCCCTGGACCCCGGCCTGCCAGCAGTAGAACAATAACACCAAATACTCCACCCTACTCTCTACCCTAAACAGCTGGTGAGCCAATGACCACAATGACACCTGGACCTTCAGGCAGAGTTTATTGTGTGCTCACTACTCCTGACAATAGCTTCTTTACACAACCCCACAAGGTAAACACTGTCACTATCCCCATCGTATAGATGAGGAAACCAAGGCCTCAGGAGAGGTGACCTGCCCAAGGTCTCCTAAGACCAAGATCTCATTAGATGAGGAGCTAGGACCCCACAAGTCCTCCAACTCCACTATACCACCAGGAGTTCAAGGAATACCAGCAAGGGTTCCTCCACTGTCAGTCTTCCAGATGTTTCCCCCACCAGACAGGCCAGGCCGTGAGCCTGCAGTGCAGACCCCCTGCTCCCAGGAGAAGAAACTGTTTTCTGCCCATGGCCAGGTCTCCCAGCACACCCATCCCTGGCTTCCAACTGGGCACTCTCTTCCCTGTTGAGTTGCAGGTTACAGCCAGCACAGGGGTAAGAAAGCACTAAGGTGTAGGCCCCGGGAGCAGGTGACTTCTGTCTGGTGTCGTTGCCTCTTCATCTCTGTGGCCTCTTATTCTCTTCCTTCCTCCTTCTCCAAAATGCCAGCAGCAGCCACAGCAAGCCCTGAGAACTGACCATTCCGTATCTAGAAGGGAGCATCCCTGTGCCAGGCCCTTCCCACAGCCCGTGGGACGGCCACAGATGGAAACGAGGGGTCATGGGGCAGGTCCCAGCCCTCATCCTGCCTGCAAAGCCACAGTCGTTCCTGCAAACTATACCGCGATGCAAAGACAGGAAGCAGCAAGAGGCAGCGTCACCCTCCACGGTCCCGGCTCCCACTTGGGCCTGCGTCTCTGGCTGCCTAAAGCTCAGGTCATTCTTACAAACAAGACTGTGGGCAAAGTCTCCACCAACGCCACCATCCTCATCCCTGTAACAGGAACGACCGTGCCCGCAGCTCAGTACAGCTCACAAATGCCTAGCACTGGGCCAGGTGCTTTTTGGACTTTGAGTCATCTAAGCCTCCCAACAACAACACTTTACGGTAGAAGAAATAGGCTTGGCCAGCTTAGGCGCGCTGCCTAAGTCACAGGGATAGGAAATGGCAAGCCTGGGCTTCAAGCTTTGACCTCTCTGATCCTAAGTCTACGCTCCCGGTTGCTGCACTCGGCAGCCTCGTGAAACTGTGTGGACCATGCCACAGAGTCACTTGTCGAGCCACGAACTTGAGTGGTGAGCTTCAGAGCAAGTGAAAGCCTTCTATCCAGTATCATTCGACACATACCCCATGAGAAAAAGTAACCAAAACTTCCCAAAAAGTGTTGGTGCCTAGAGCAGGATCAACAAACTGCCTACAAAGGGCCAGATAGTAACCATTTTAGGCTCTGCAGGCCATAAAGTCTGGCTCACAGATTCTCAACTCTGCCCAACTCCGCCAGTTAGTGCGAAAGCAGCCATGGACAATACATAAATGAGCCTTGCTGGGTTCCAATAAGACTTTATTTACAAAAACAGGCAGAGGCCCAGATTAGGTGAGCAGGCGGTGATTTGCCGACCTGTGGCCTAGAGCATAGTGGCTCAAGCCACGGCTATCCAGAGACAGAGGCCCCGGGCGCGAACCCCGAGTCTCGCCGCAACCACTTGCTAACCGCGCCGTCCGGCTAAACGTCCGGCTAAACGTCCGGCTAAACGTCCGGCTAAACGTCTTTATCTCCTGGCCTCACGTTTCTCACCCTCAAAAACGGAGGTGACCCCGGAGCCCACCTCCCAGGGTTTTTGTGAGGATTAAGTGAGCTAAAAAATACCTAGCACATCATAATCGCCCCATCCTCCTTGGAAAACACCCAGGGGGAAAGCAAGGAACCAAAGCCACGTTTGGATTCAGCCAAGCGGCAGGTCCAGGGCAGACTCGTGCTTCTCAACCCAGGCGATCTGGCTCCCAGACCACTTCTGACAAGGTCTGGAGACATTTTCGGTCGTAATACCTGGGGGAGGGGTGCTGCTGGCATCCAGCAGGTAGAGGCCAGGGAAGGTCCTAAACATCGTACAATGCACAGGACAGCCCCCTACAATAAAGAATTATCCACCGCAAAACGTCACCAGTGCTGAGGTTTAGAAACGCTGAGGTAGAACAACCAAGATGACAAAGGGACTCAAACGTGTCCTTTGAGCAGCTGAAGGGACTAAGGTGTTTATCCTGGTGAAGATTCAGGGGGAGAACATAACTCAGAAAAGACATGATAACCATCTGCAAATATTTCGAAGGCAGGCTTATTTATGAAAGAGGAGCCAGAGAGGCTTGCATGGCCCAAGAAGAGCCACGGCCATTACAGGATGTGGGCTTAGTGTCAGCACAGCGGACTCCCTAAGGAGAACCTGCCTTTCTGCACAAGTGACCCCCCCCCCAACCTCAACTGAGCAGACCAGGTGTGGACACCTGGCTGGAGCTGGGACCAAGGCTTTCCCTGGGGATTTGGCTTTCTTTTTCTTAGTCCCAATCTTTCCACAGCCTCTGCCAGAAGCCCAGGAGGTAGAAGCTGTTATTTCCTGCCCACCATTGGACTGAGCAGCACAGAAAGCTGGTCTGCACTTCCCCTTGCTCTAGGTCCCAGTTCCTAGGTATTTTTAGGCCCAGCCACCTCCCTGGCCTAGGTTTCCATGACATAGATAACCTCCTCTCTCTTAGACACAATGACTCCAAGACCAGCTATAACTTCTCCCCCAGAGAGAGGGGGACAGCCAGCTCCCGGCTCCCCTGTCAGCTCTCTCCTTAGCTTCTAACAGCTCTAGTTCCAAGAACAAGGAAGGTCAGGAGCTCACTGTCTTTGAAAAAGCCGAAGTTCTTCACCCCAGCTCTGGCCCTACAGTGCAGACACCACTGGTACCTGAGAACGCTTCCATTTGCCCATGTCTGGAACTGTGTGGATCTCCTTTTTTGGAATGATGAAGTTCTGAGTGGCTGGAGGGATATCCTCCGAAGAATCTTGACAAAGAAAGTGAAGAAGCAAATACATAAATAGAATCTTCCCCTCAACCCAACTTTCTCCCTCTCTCTCGCTCTCTCTCTCTCTCTCTCTCTCTCTCTCTCACACACACACACACACACACACACACACACACGTTTAAACCAAGACTCCAACCCCCAGTCCCTAGGGTAAACCAGACACGTACTCCCAGGACAATCAAGCCAAATCCACTGACCGCCTGCCTTTCCACCCTCAGCCCAGAGCCCCGCCGTACTGGGAATGCCCTCAACAACTGACGCGTTCAGCTGCTCCGCGGTGCCCTCACCCCCCGCTCCCTCACCACAGAATGGTTAAAAAATAAAACGAAGTTGACCTTTTAGACAAAAGCAGGCAATTCAAAGAAGGAGGAGAAAAATTACAAACGACCACCCATAAACATTTGAAAAAAATTGCCAACCTCTGAATAAGCACAGAAATGTAAATTAGATGAGATGGCTTTTCCAGATCAGGGTGGCAGATTAAAACCATCTGGCATCGACTGGGAATGGGGAAGCGGGAACTCTCCTGCACTGCTGGTGGGAGTCTTGGTAGAATCTGCTGAGGAGGCAACTCAGCACTGACTTTTGAAGTAAAAACAACACAGACCCATGGAGCCAACATTTCTACTTGTAGGCATCAACCCTTCAGGGGCTCACAGAAATACACCAAGGTGTATATAAAGGCACTTACTGCACGGAAAAAAGGTAGAAACAGCGCATATATCAATTGACAAGGCAATAGGTAAATAATAATATGCCCATATAATGGAAATCTTCATAGTTTTTTTTTTTAAAGATTTTGTTTGTTTAGTTGAGGGAGAGAGAATGAGAGAGAGAGAGAGCACAAGAGGGAAGAGGGTCAGAGGGAGAAGCAGACTCCCCGCCGAGCAGGGAGCCCGATGCGGAACTCGATCCCGGGACTCCAGGATCATGACCGGAGCCGAAGGCAGTCGCTTAACCAACTGAGACACCCAGGCACCCATCTTCATAGTTCTTTAAAAGAATAAAACCTAAATTACTGACATAGGAAAAGCCTAGATATTAATAAGTGAAAAAAGAAGGGGCGCCTGGGTGGCTCATTCAGTTGAGCACCCAACTCTTGATTTCAGCTCAGGTCATGATCTCATGACCTCAGGGTCATGAGATGGACCCCCGCATCGGGCTCCATGCTGGACATGGAGCCTGCCTAAGATTCTCTCTCTCCCTCTCCTTCTCTCCTCCCCCCCTCCACATTCGCGAGCCTAAGCACGCACGCGCACTCTCTCTTTCTTTAAAAAAAAAAAAAAAAAAAAGAACTAGCATACAATAATTTTATAATCAGGAAAAAAAAAACTTTTAAATGGAGTTTCTATATTTGCAGAACTTGGGGAAAGGAAAACACAGGGTAGTTCCACATGCTGACCTAGAAGCAAACTTCACACCAAAGTGGACCGCTTAGTATGAGTGGCCTCTCTAGCCAAAAATACCTGGCCCACACTGCAGGACTCCCTTTACTTTATGACACTGGAAAATATGAGCCCTCAGTCTCTTCTCCGTAATTCCAAAATCCAAAAAGTTCTAAAAACCCAAAGTTTTTAAAATAAGTTTGGCACAAATTCTTTTCGTACAAAACTTAAACCTAAACCAACATGAGAACATTTATAGGCTTTGCAGATCCCTCTTAGGGAATTTAAGTTTTGCTGCAGAAGTATTTTTGTTTGATTGTGGGGTGCTCCTTTCTGAAATCTGGGAAACCCTGAATTCCAAAATACACCTGGCCCCAAGGGTCTTGGACAAGGGCCGTGCCTGAATCCACTATTGAAGATCTGTTGTATTAGTTAACACCTTCCTTTAAAAACCCAAACTCTCCAGAAAGAGTCATTCACGACATACGATAATTTCTACCCCTGCTGTCCTCCTAAAATCTAGCTGACCATTGCCTGCATGGAGAAAGGGGACAGGGGCCTAAGATGGTTCTGGAACATGTGACATTTGGGAGAATGGAGCATGCCTGGAGAGGCCCTGAGGAGAGGGAAAGCTCTAGAATACCTGGAGACCTGACGAGGAGGACAGAGAATCCGAGATGACAGCAAGGCAAACCTCTGCCTAATTCAAAATTGAAACCAGAGCCCAAAAAACAAATCAGAAACTCTCTTCCTCCTCCCACCTGTTCTACAAGCCCTGTTCCCAGAACCCAAAACTGAGGCCCCTACTATTAGTAAATTACTACCTTAATATGCTATTAAATAGGGGCGCCTGGGTGGCTCCGTCAGTGAAGCGTCGGCCTTCAGCTCAGGTCATGATCTCAGGGTCCTGGGATCCAGCCCCACTTCGGGCTCCCTGCTCAGCGGGGGTCTGCTTCTTCCTCTCCCTCTGCCTCCTCCTTCCTGTTCATGCTGTCTGCCTCTCTCTCTCTCTCAAATAAATAAATAAAATCTTTTTTTTTTAAAGATTTTATTTATTTATTTGACACAAAGAGATACAGCGAGAGAGGGAACACAAGCAGGGGGGAGTGGGAGAGGGAGAAGCAAGCTTCCCACGGAGCAGGGAGCCTGCTGTGGGGCTCGATCCCAGGACCCTGGGATCATGACCTGAGCCAAAGGCAGACGCTTAACGACTGAGCCACCCAGGCGCCCCAATAAATAAAATCTTAAAAAAAAAAAAAAGATGCTATTAAATTAAAAGCTTTGTAGGTCAGGCTGGTAACCTAACATCATTGTTTTTATGGGAAAATGTGTTCCACATTCCAAATAATCAACTTGCAAATGATCATTAGGAACAGAGAGTGCTTCTGTAAGTTCCCTGCCAGGGGACAGCCTTTCTGAGTTATTTCACAGGTGGGAAACCAAGCCAAGCCTGGTACCAGAGGAATGGCTATCCTGTAGGAAGCATTGCAACAACCACTAATGAAACATACACACATGTTGTTACCAGAACATGCAATATCAAATAAAAGAAACAAGCCTTCAAACCAGGGTCTTGATGACTGAGTCCCTCCAGCCTCAGACTCTATCTCTGACAAAGGTGTCACAGTACACCTACAAGCTCACAGTAAAAGATGGAAGTATCTAGAGTTTTAGAGATGTTCCCTAAACCCCGCCCAAAAGTATAATGTAATATCATCTGTCATTTGAGAACTAGCCTACATGTTCAACCTGTACCACCTTTTAAAAGGACAACAGCAATCAACATTTCCTGACTATTCCCCATGCCCCATGTTTTGCCCACATCACCTACGGAACACACACTACAACTCTGTTGAAGGTATTAAAAGCCCCATTTTCAGAGATAAGCAAGGCTCAGAGAAGGTGATCTGCCAGGCAGAGCCAGGTCTGTACAACTCTAAAATCCAAGGTTTTCATCACTACACTGTCTGAGTGAAGTAGTTCTTTCTACTTGTTCCAAAACGTCCTGTTTCAAACTTCAAAGGAGGACCACCTCCCGGCACCCGGCTCTTTCCAGCCACAGATATCCTCGCTGCGCCTTCATCTCTTTCAGTGCATGGGCTATCTCCCCAGCCACCCAACTTCGGAGACACATTCATCTCACTGAGAATTCTGGTTGGCTTCTATCTCTCACAGGCATTACCGGAACTTCTAAGGGCACAGGCACAGAAGTTTTGTACCAAATGAAGTAAACGTCTGGTTTCAAATGCCCTAAGAGACCATACCCAGCTCTTGGTTCATCTATTTGGTGCAGGGAAGGGGATGCCTTTTTTGATCTTCATAATTTCTCCTTCCTGAGACCTTTCCAGGGATCCCAAAACGCAAGACAGTTAGAAGGCATAACCAATGCGTTCAAAACATGAGCTGTGTTTGGCCCGTCTATTCGCCCTGTCAGAACTTTAAATCATCTACGGTCAGTCCTTCCTAGCTCGGGTGCGGGAGGTGGGTGTCAGCAAACAGCCCTCCCCCTTCTTCAGGAAACGGGTCTCTATCAGACCCTTTCCCTAGTACTCCCATCCTAGTTATTTGAGATGAACTAAAGCCAGGCCACAGTGTAAATAAAAGTTACAGATCGTGATGCCAGGGAGGGACTCATCTTGCACAACCAGCTTTTTTTCAATTAGTGGTTTACACAACCAAGGGCAGCTTCTCTCAATAAATTTTCAGCCCCTGAAACCCGCCTCCAAGAGGGAGAGAGGGTAGGTGGAGGAGGGGTGGGCAGGGTGCGGAGGAGTCTGGAAACGGGGTGCAGGCAGGCCCAGGCCCACAGAGCACCACCCCTCACCCCCCGAGCAGGCTCGAATAAAGAAGGCAGCCACCCGAATCACTGTCGACCCCGTCCCTGGCAGCTTCCCCACCAGCTCAAGAGCTGACTTCAGCACCAGCAGCCCAGATGTGGAAAAGGCCTCCCCACTGGCCACGGCGCTGCCCGGGCTCCCCAGGTCCAGGTGTTGCGCCCCACCCGCCACCCCTTCGCAGCCCTGGGCTCTCGCCGCTCCCCAGATCCTCCCAGCACGTCTTCCTCAGGGCCCAGCAGCTTCTACCACCCGAGTTCCTCCACCTCCCGACCCGCCCCCTCCCCCGCGGCCGAGCCCCCCCCCCGCCCACACACACACACCACACCCCTTCCCCGCCCCCGCGCCGGGTGCCGCCCCCGCGCCCCTACCCGACCCCGGCCGGGCCCGGCCCGTCCTACCTGGCGGCGACTGCCGCTCGCCCTCAGCCATCTTCCTCCCGCCAGGAGCCGGCCCGAATGCCTGCAGTCCCCTCTCACCTTTCACCCCCGCACCCCCTCCCTTTCCCCGGCTCCACCAGGCGCTCAGAGCTTTCTGAAGAGAAAGGAGGACCAGCCGGCTATAACAGAAAACCGAGAATTGAAATCACCCCCGTGAAGACGACCGCCATGCTGGTGCGGGGCACTCGGGGAGCATGCCCAGTAACGGCTGGCTCGCGGCTGCGGCGCTCACGGGGAGGCGGCGGCCATGTTGGTGCGGGGCAGCTGGGAGCATGCGCGCCGACGGCCGGCCCACCTCCCTACCAGCCCGCGGTCGGCCCGGCCATGGGAGCGCGGCAGCCATGCTTGTGCGGGGCGCTCCCCACCTGTCATCTTTGACCCTATCCCGAGGCATATTAGAGGACGTTCCCCTATTGACATGGCTGTGTTTTTCTGCCGCTCTGAGAGTAGCGCTCAAGGACACCAAACGGACTGAGAGGGGTGCACGCTACTGCCTCCAACAGCTTAGACAGCCAGTGGAGGTGGGAGACGGCGAGCTGGACAGCAGCCTTTTTCTCCCCTCTTCCTGGGTTCCACCGCCTCGCGGGGTCTCGCGACCACTAACTGCGCCCTCGGCTCCGCCCCCGGCCAGCCCCGCCCGGCGCTCTGGGCTAACGGCCCGGGCCCGCAACCGGCTGGTGGCCCCGCCCCAAGAATCCTCCTCCCGGGGGCCCCCAGCCCGCCGCCCGCCGGGCCCGGTGGGTGGGCGCCGGGTCGCCTCTACCGGCCGGCGGCGGTGACTCGGCGACCTTGGCCCGGAGACTCTAGCGGGGACCCACCGGCGGCGGCGGCGGCGGCGGCGGCGGCGGCGGCGGCGCCGCAGACTTTGCCCAGTGCGGAGGACCGAGCGGACTGTGTGTCCGCGGGCGGGCCCCAGAGATGTTGGCTTTCGCGGCCAGGGCCGTGGTGAGTGCGGCGAGGAACCGGGGCGGGCGGGCCCTGGACGGGACGGGCGGGCCGCGAGCCGGGCCAGACACGCAGCTGCGCCGGAATGGAGAAACAGGCCATGGAGGCGACGCGGCCGGGTGGCCACTGTCCTGCCCGGCCAGCAGCTGCTGGGGTGGGATCGGCAGGTGGACTAACCCTGCTTGGCAGAGGAGGGGACGGAGGCTCAAGGTCAGAGATCCGATCGAACGCACGTCGTGTGGCTCTAAACTCCAGCCACCCGAAAAAGATAGTGGGGACCCTGGCTTCAGGCAGCACTTCCACCCTTAGACCCAGAGCCAAGGAGCTGAGGGACCGGGAGTCTCTCCCCCTGACTCACACACCTGTCGCATGCTCAGCCTGAGCCATCTGTGCCCAGGCCAGAGCCACTTCTCCAACCTCATCCAGTTGGTCATTCTCCTTGGGCTTATCAAAATGGCCCTTGGGGAACTTTGTGTGGCCAGAGAAATTCATGTGGAGGCCTCAAGCTGGGCGGCGGGGAAGATCCTCTGAACCGGCAGGAGGCAGCAGGTGGCAGCCCCATACCCTTTGTCTCCACCAGTCCCTCCCTGCCAGCTTGTCCATGTCTACCCCAGAATCCTCCCCACAGGACAGCAAGCAGTGCTGCCACTCTGATTTGAGTTCCTTTCCTCTCTCCTTCAAGCATATCTCTGCTTGCATCTCCTTCTGTCTGTGCCAAGAAGGATGTCCAAACAGACACTCCCTGGCCCAGAGGGCTGAGGTTACCCATCTGCTGGCCCAGAGGTTCTTCCAGATCTCCCAGAGACCTAAGGCTCCACATCACCCTTGCCACTGACACCTGAGCAGTGCCCCCATCTGACAGACGGCTTCTAGGTCATCCTCCAGGACCTGCTGGGTGGCCTGATCACTTTATCTCCTTTAGGCAAGGAGAGACTTGGCCAGAATCCCCCAGATCTGGTGACTCAAATCTAGCAGATTCCCAAAACCAGCTGCCTCCTCCTTCAGTTTATTTTTTTAGTGCCCGAAGTCCTCCACTCTTGCCCCCAGGTGACAGCTCAAGAGAAGCAGGCTTTGGTGGAAGGGAGGCCCGGAAGGGCTCCAAGAGTCCTGGAGGAAAACGAAATGAGCTCTTAGCAGCCCCTCGCCACTTAATGGCCCTTTCCCAGTGTCTGCTCTCTCGCACCAAGCCCAGTTTACAGGACTGATTTCAGGGTTGTGGTGCAATCTCAGTGGCCAGGCGGCTTCTGCCTCCAGCCAAGTTTTCCATCATTAAACAAACCTACGCAGATTCCAACAGGTGGATTTTTAAAATTCCTCCTCGCCCTGGCACCAGACCCACCCAGAGAAGAGAGGAGAACATATTCCAGGTTTCCTTCTACTCTGGTGCCTACTACCGGCCCCTTCACCTGCTCCCCAATCCTCTACTTCTGGCAGCCAACAAGGATGCCTGCCAGCGCCACAACCCTAGATGCCACCCTAGCCACCGAAGCCGTTGCCACTGCCACCTCTGCGTCCCCCTGAATCTTGGTTCTTCTCTTTCCAGCCCAGGCAAGTGGCTGTCTCTTGCTAGGTTCTGCTCGCCCACTGGGTAGCACAGTTAGGCTTAGAGGCCCAGCCCAAGGCAGAAAGACAGGGCTCAGAACCTCAGTCCTGCCATGGAAGACGGGCAGCAGAAAGAGAAGGTATGGAACGATCCTCCGCCACTTGCCTACCCACTGCTGCGCACAGCCTCGGATCTCCTATTTCTCTCTCTGCCCACCTCCAGAATCTCCCCCATTTCCTCTCTCTGCCACCTCTCACCCACCTATCAGGCCATTCAGCTCTTGCTTACCACGGCACTGCCCCTATGCCGCTTCTGTGCCCATCCCGCAGACAGATGAAAACCAAGGCCTGGCCCTCGCCCAAAGGTTCTGTCGTCATCCGGCTCCTTCTGACTTTCTCTTTATGCCTCTTATTTCCCAGCTTGGCAAGGGTGGGAGAAAAGGAGGTGGGGGGGCCCCTGGCCGGGAGCGGTCACCTCACTGCTTGCTGGCTGGCTCATTGTGCTAGGGTGAAGAAGGTGGGGCCTTGTTGCTTCCAGACAGGTGAGAGGTCGCTGTCAGCTCTGCCACCCCCAACAGGTGCCATTCACCCTGACTTGGTTCCCGGTTACCGGGATCAATGGCCACACCCCCGCCCATCCCCCTACCTGCATCCCCAGGCCCCAGAGAGGTGGAGACACCTACAGTTTGAGGGCTGGGAACCCAGGCAGGCACCACCCAAGAGGCTGTCTCTGACCCCGGGGATGGGCACATAAGTGCCCAGGACCAGAGCTTCAGGATTGCCAGGGTCTTCCAGAGCCGGTGAGAGAATGAGCAGGATGTTCTGCTGCCTGCAGGTGAAGCCCCTGGGCTTCCTCAGGCCCTCCTCCTTGATGAGTGTCTCCAGCCGCTTCAAGGCCCACCAGGATTCGCTGCCCCGATTGCCCGTGCCCGCGCTCCGCCAGTCCCTGGACCGCTACCTCAAGGCTCTGCAGCCCATCGTGAGCGAGGAGGAGTGGGCCCAGACCAAGCAGCTGGTGGAAGAGTTTCAGACTGCGGGGGGTGTAGGGGAGCGCCTGCAGAAGGGGCTGGAGCGCAGGGCCAGGAAGACGGAGAACTGGGTGAGTGGAGCTCCCTGTTCCCACACGGGTTGAGGGGCCCGGGGCCCTCTCAGAGGCTCAGGTCATGAGAGGATCCCTCGCTGTGGCCTGTTGCCGGCCTCACGCTGAATTTCCTAGCACCGGCTGCTCTGGCACATTCTTTCATGCCACGGGGTTTCTTGAGCGCTTCCTCTGTGCCTCGCACTAGGCCGGTCCCTGAGTGAGCGAGAAGGACACAGTCCATGGTCCCTTGGGGCTGACATTCAAGGAGGGTGGGAAGCAAGGTGATTAAACAGCATACAGGTGAGTGGATGAGTTTCTTTCCGGCAGTGAAGTTCACCAGGAGAAAAAAGGGAGAGAGGAGAATGGCAGTGTCTTTGTTTGGAGTGGGCTGAGAGGAGGAGACCTTGGGTCTAAGACAGAGAACAACCGGGGCAAAGGTGGGAAGAGCCTAGCATGTCTAGCAGCCGAGGCTGGAATGTAGAGCAGTGGCCTGGGGCTGGGGGTGGGAGGTGCATCAGAGGAAGGAATCTGGGCTGGAGTTCAGTGGGAGGGGGCATTGGTGCTGTTCAGTGACAGATTCGATCGCCCTGGTTCCTTGTCCCCATCATGCAGGTGTGCACAGCTCATGAAAATGGGTCCACACTGATGCTCCGTGCACTTTTCTATATGCATCTTACACCTCAACACGGTGGAAAAGAACCACCCCGACTGCTGGGAGGGAAGCGGGCGTGGGGGTGGGAGGCATGGGATGAGGCTGGCACTGGCACCCCAAGGGAGATGCCAGCAGGGAGAGGGCAGACGAGTCAGTTCCCTCTGTCCCGTGTATGTTCTGGAGGAGGAACCAGTGGCCCTTGCTGATGGGGGTCGTAGGGGGAGCTGTCCTGACCTAAAGCAACTTGCGTGGGGGGGGGGGGGGGGGGGGGGGGAGGGGGGGCCGGGGCCAAGGCGGGGGGGGGCGAGGAGGGAGCAGTCTTGTGGGAGCGAACCAGAGCTGGGTTCCAGCCATATAAGGTGGGAGATGCTCTGAGTGGGGCAGATGGAGGGCTGGGGGCTGCACACAGAAGGTAGGAGTCATCAACTGGCAGGCGGCATGTACTGAGCCTCGGCAGGCACTTAGAGAGTCTGTGGTCTGGCGGTTTCCCAACAGTTTCATCCCGGAACTCCTTCCCACAGAAGCTTCTAGCTAAAGAGGTAGGGGTATCCCCTTCTCCACTCACAGGGCCCTCGTGCCCAGCAGACTCTCAGCGGGGGAATGCCCACATCTGCAGGATCTCCCCTTATTTCCCAGCTCTGGCCAGAGGCCCGGAGATCCTGATGGAGTGGGGGGGCCCCTGGCTGAAGGGCAGCCCCGCTGCCCCCAAGGGGAGGGAATTCCTGTCTGCTCCTCCCTGACCCACAGATGAGGAAGCTGAGGCCCAGAGAGGTAGATTGAAAGCCCAGAGCCACACAGCTGCTCTCAGGGAGGCCCTGAGCTACACAGGAGTGTCTGGCCGACCAGGAGCCCTGTCCTCGGGTCACAAGTCAGCAGACAGATGCTGCCCCCTGGCCTGCTGTATAACCTGGGCACATTGTCTCCCCTCACCCCTTGCCAGGGGCCCACAGCTGGTGGCCTGGTGCTGCAGGCCAGCAGTTCCCCAAGCAGAAACTGTTTGGTGAAGAGGCAGGTCCCACCGCCATTTGAGAG